GATACCCCTGCATGTCCAGGTCATCTGCATCAGAGCTGAAGGGGCTCTCAAGCTCAACGGACACTTCATGCAAGTCTCAGAACACGAACGTCAGCAGGAACATGCTCCAGAACGCCTGCGTGGCCCGAGACAGAAGCTTGCTACCATGAACGGTGTCGCTAGCAACTGGATAAACATCAACCACACAGTGACCTGCGCATACAGGATGGAAAAGGAATAACAACAACCCGAATGGTTTGGCATCCTCGTGCCTTAGAGAACCGGCATTCATTTCGTTCAAGGCTCGGGCGACGACTGGCGGTGCAACGCTCATGAGGCCGGCATGCTCCGCCTCGACAGTCAATGCCATGAGCATGTTGTACACTGCCTCGACTTTCAGCTCCATGTCGTTCACAATGCGGACCACTGACGGTTTCTTTAGCGACCCAAGGTTGATCACCTTCAACTTCGGAAACAAAACCATCCCACCACCGCCATCGGTGTCCGGCAACTTCGGCAAAGCAAGGGCGTTCAGGAGTCTGAACAGTCGCACCACCAAATGTCGAAATCTCCTGACCTTGTGCGATCAATCCTGGATGTACGTGTGAAGGTGACGAAGCTGCCAGCAGCGTTGCACCATGAGCAAGTCATCGATCACACGAGTACCCCCCTGTGCAGAATCGCGGGTACGCCTGTTGGTTGCGAGCAATGGTCAAGAATGCAAGCATGGCAGTGAAGCTGGTGTACGGCGTGGCAATGATGCCAATGTGTTTCGAGGCGTCCAAGTCCGTAGAAACAAGCAACGTTTTCAACACCATCGCGAAGATTGCTGAGGGCAGCGCGAACAGACATGCGGAAGGTCCGACGCTGCCCTTCGAGCCAAGCAAAGGTCGCTCGATAGCCTGGGCTCGTACTGAATCATGGCGGGGAGCGGCTCGAAGATGTGCAAACGACGCTGTGGAACAAAGCACAACGAAATGCGAATCGACTCAATGAACCGATCATGCCTTGAGACAAAAAAATGCTACTTACGGATGCCCGTTTGGGCCGTCCAGGGCGCCTCTTGGCATATCCCATCAGCTCTCTGGGCGACAGGTGGTCTAAGGAGGGTCTCCTTTCTCTTCCACAACCCCTCTTGCCTTCGGGGAGGGGAGCCCTCCCCCCCCCTCCCGGATGTTTTTCCCAACCATCCTGTGGTGTTGGGTCCTCGTTTTGAAGAAACGGTCCCCGCGTTCTCCCCTCCTCCTCTGCCCCCCCCCCTCCTGCTACCGTCCGCATGCGTCCCGCACACACACACAGGAAAGCGTTTCGTGGCCCTACTCCCCTCCCCACCACCCAGTGCAGCGCTTCGTGGCCCCATAGGGAGACTCAGCGAAGGTCCCAGTGCTACCGTCCGCATGCGTCCCGCACACCCAGTACAGCGCTTCGTGGCCCCATAAGGAGCTCCACCGAAAGTCCCAGTGCTACCGTCCGCATGCGTCCCGCACACCCAGTACAGCGTTTCGTGGCCCTCCTCCCCCTCCTCCCTGAGTTTCGCCCACCCAGTCCAACGTTTTGTGGCCCCATAAGGAGCCCCACCGAAGGTCCCAATGCTACCGTCCACATGCGTCCCGCACAACCAGTACAGCGTTTCGTGGCCCCATAGGGAGCTCCACCGAAGGTCCCAATGCTACCGTCGGCATGCGTCCCGCACACCCAGTACAGCGTTTCGTGGCCCTCCTCCCCCTCCTCCCTGCGTTTCGCCCACCCAATACGGCGTTTCGTGGCCCCATGGGCAGCCCCACCGAAGGTCCCAATGCTACCGTCCACATGCGTCCCGCACACCCAGTACAGCGTTCCGTGGCCCCATAGGTAACTCCACCGAAGGTTCCAATGCTACCGTCCGCATGCGTCCCGCACACCGAGTACAACGTTTCGTGCCCTCCTCCCCCTCCTCCCTGCGTTTCGCCCACCCAGTACAACGCTTCGTGGCCCCATGGGGAACCCCACCGAAAGTCCCACTGCTACCGTCCGCATGCGTCCCGCACACCGAGTACAGCGTTTCGTGGCCCCATAGGCAGCCCCACCGAAGGTCCCAGTGCTACCGTCCGCATGCGTCCCGCACACCGAGTACAACGTTTCGTGGCCCTCCTCCCACCTCCTCCTTGCGTTTCGCCCACCCAAAAATTACAACGCTTCGTGGCCCCATAGGGAGCCCCACCGAAGGTCCCAATGCTACCGTCCGCATGTGTCCCGCACACCCAGTACAGCGTTTCGTGGCCCCATCGGGAGCTCCATCGAAGGTCCCAGTGCTACCGTCCGCATGCGTCCCGCACACCCAGTACAACGTTTCGTGGCCCTCCTCCCCCTCCTCCCTCCCTGCGTTTCACCCATCCAGCACAGCGGTTCGTGGCCACATAGGGAGCTCCACCGAAAGTCCCAATGCTACCGTCCGCATGCGTCCCGCACACCCAGTACAACGCTTCGTGGCCCGAGAAGGAGCTCCACCGAAAGTCCCAGTGCTACCGTCCGCATGCGTCCCGCACAACCAATACAACGTTCCGTGGCCCCATAGGGAGCTCCACCGAAGGTCCCAATGCTACCGTCCGCATGCGTCCCGCACACCCAGTACTGCGTTTCGTGGCCCTCCTCCCCCTTCTCCCTGCGTTTCACCCACCCAGTGCAGCGTTGCGTGGCCCCATAGGGAACTCCACCGAAGGTCCCAGTGCTACCGTCCGCATGCGTCCCACACGCCCAGTACAGCGATTCGTGGCCCTCCTCCCCCTCCTCCCTGCGTTTCACCCATCCAGTACAGCGCTTCGTGGCCCCATAAGGAGCCCCACCGACGGTCCCAGTGCTACCGTCCGCATGCGTCCCGCACACCCAGTACAGCGTTTCGTGGCCCCATAGGGAGCTCCACCGAAGGTCCCAGCGCTACCGTCCGCATGCGTCCCGCACACCCAGTACAGCGTTTCGTGGCCCCATAGGGAGCTCCACCGAAGGCCCCAGTGCCCCCGTCCGCATGCGTCCCGGAAACGCAATTTGGCATTTTCACCCACACAGTGCAGCGTTTCGTGGCCCCAGAAAGGCTCCACCCAAGGCCCCAGTGCCACCGTCCGTATGCGTCCGGGAAATGTAATTTGGCATTTTCACCCGCGCAATGCAGCGCTTCATGGCCCCATAGGGGGCTCCACCGAAACCCCCAGTGGGACCGTCCGCATGCGTCCCGGAAACCCAATTTGGCATTTTCACTCACTCAGTAGAGCGCTTCGTGGCCCCATAGGGAACTCCACCGAAGCCCTCAGTGGGACCGTCCGCATGCGTCCCGGAAACCCAATTCGGCACACCACCCACGTTCCCCCCCGCCCAGTGCAGCGCTTCGTGGCCCCATAGGGAGCTTCACCGAAGCAGATATTCACAATTACGGTACCCACAACTGCATATGGTTGGGACCTTCGCCAGGATAATTTTGGGAGGGGGACCGATGTGTCAGAGGGTTCTTCTTCGGCCAGTGGGAGGGCCGATTCCTGACACCCCTCACGAGGATTGTGGCCCCCGAGGGGGGGGGGGAAACATAGAGGACCCCCCTCTTTTGACCGACCGCCTTCAACATGGCCCCAAGAGGCCCTCCAGGGCTCCCAAGAGGCCCACAAGAGGGTCCCACGAGTGCCCTAAGAGGCCCCAAGAAGGCTCCAAGAGGTCCCCGAGAGGCCCCCAAGAGGCCCCCGAGTGGCCCCCAGGCGGCACCAGAGAGCCCAAGATGACCTCCAAGATGGCTCAAGATAGTCCAAGCTGGTTCAAGATGGTCCCAAGATGCCCCAAGAGGCCCCAAGACCGCTCCAAGACGGCTCAAGATGGCCACGAAGCTTCCCCAGGAGGCCGCCACGAGCCCAACATCCTTCAAACACCTACAGAGAATCAATGCATCCTAGCAGCCCTTTGGGCGACAGGTGGTCTAAGAGTGATCTTTTGTTTCTTCCACAACCCCTCTTGCCTTCGGGGAGGGGAACCCTCCCCCTGCTCTCCCAGGGGCTTGTTGGGAGGGGGACCGATGTGTCAGAGGGTCCTTCTTCGGCCAGTGGGAGGGCCGATTGTTGACACCCGTCACGAGGATCGTGGCCCCCGAGAGGGGGGGGAAGACATAGAGGACCCCCCTCTTTTGACCGACCGCCTTCAACATGGCACCAAGAGGCCCTCCTGGGCCCCCATTAAGCCCCCGAGAGGTATTTAAGAGGTCCCCTGAGCGGCCCCCCAAGAGGCCCAAGAAGCTCCCGCGAGGCCCGCAAGACGCCGTCTCGTCCTCGTCCTCCTCCTCGTCCTCCTCGTCCTCGTCCTCGTCTCCCTCCTCGTCCTCATCCTCATCGACCTCCTCGTCCTTATCCTCATTCTCCACCCCCTCCTCCTCCACCGCCTCCTCCTCCTCCTCCTCCTCACTCTCTTAGTCCTCGTCCTCCTTCTCGTCTTGCTCCTCTTGCCTCCTCCCTCCTCCTCCTCCTCATCCTCCTCCGTCCCCCCGCGGGTCCAGAGATGACCCCAACACGCCGTCCAGGCCGGCCTCTCTCGCTGTTTGACTATGCGTGTCTCTTCCTCTCTCCCCCCGCCAGCTCACATGGACATCGTTTCTGGATGGGCTGGTGGGGGTACTTTTTGGTACGCGGGCGCGCGAAGCCAAGTTGAACGCCGAGCACTCTAGGGCGGGCCGCGCCGCAGCGAAGGAAAAACAACTGGTGGGGATACTTTTTCGTCGCGGCCGCAAACGGAAGCGCAGGAGGCGTCCAAAGTCAGCCCGGGCCTGGTGGGGATACTTTTTAGTCACCGGCCGCGGGCGAGCGCGCCAGCGGCGAGTCCAGTCAAAGCGGGGCACGCAGCGACAAATTCACCTAAAACGACGGGGCGCGCCCTCACCTAAAGCGGCTAAGCGGAGCCTCGCGCAGCACCTCAGCGGCGGACCGGCGAGTGGAGGGGGCAGGCTGAAACTGAGTCGTACTGCCAGCGTGCAGGTATTCACGGCGTCGGAAGCCCTGGTGGGGATACTTTTTTTTGGTCGCAGCCGCAGGCAAGAGCGCAAGCGGTGAGTCGTAAGTCCAGGACGCGGGCCTACTAATTAAAACAGGAGCACCTGGTGGGAATACGCGAAGCGTCAATCATTTCTGCTATCACAGCCGCAGCGCCTGACGTATCAACGAGCCTCGGCGCGCAGTGGCGCGAAAACAGGCTTAACTATGACGTGCCTGAGCAGCCTACCAAACAGTGCCCGAATTCGATGTATCGCGGGCATGTCCAGCAAGGAAACCTATGCGCAAACCAGCGACCTGTCCTCGACAAGCCACTGGGATCGCGCAGCTATGACGAGCTAACGAAAGAGCTAGGGCTTGCGTAGGTGGATCCGAGGACGCAGACGGAGAAGACAAACATGAAAGTAGAGGAATAGCCAGGGTACCATTGGCGAGGATGGAAAACAAGTGTGGCACAATTGAAACGTACAAACGGGCAGGAGTGCAACCCTGAGTTTGCCCGTGCCGCTCGCCACCGCGGACTGCCTTGACGTCGAGGGGTCCCTCTCGGCCCCCCACCTCTCCTCTCCTCTAGCGGTTCTCCTCTCCCCTATCCTCTGTGCGCCCGACTGGCAGGAATGAGTGGGTTAATCCGCCGACCCTGTCGGCGTGTGGAAGACGCATCCCGGTGTCGTCGTCTTGCGTGGATCACCGTCGTCGTCGTCGTCGTCGTCGTCGTCTCCGTCGTGTCCTCGTCGTCTCCGTCTCCGTTGTCCCTCGTCGTCTTCGTCGTTCCCCGTCTCCTTGAGCGCGCGAGCCAAAGCGACATTGAGCAACGTCGTAGTTGAGTCGTGGCGAAGCCCCTCCCTACCCTCCCCGCCGGGGGGTGGGGGGGGGGGGGGGTCGCCGGGGGGGGTCCCCGGGGGGGGTCGCCACCCAGATACGCATCCTCCCCGGGGGGTCCCGGAGCTCAGAAAAGCTTCAAGACGAGCCAAGAGCGACAGAAGACACCCCCAAAAGGGTACAAGAGGGCCTCGACTCGACGAACGATGGCCCCAAGACGCCCAAGACGGCCCGAAGACGGCCCAAGAGGCCCTCAAGACGCTCCAAGAGAGCCCCAAGAGCACTCCCAAGAGGGCCCCAGGCGCCAAAATCGTCAATTTTACATCGCTTTTTGAATGATTTTGGCCTTCTCGCCTTTTCGGCTTTCCGACACTCCAAGACGGCCCAAGAGGCCCCCAAGAGGCCCCCAAGAGCGCCCCAAGAGGCCTACAAGAGGGCCCCAAGACGGCCCAAGAAGGCCCCAGGACAGCCTAAGAGGCGCCCAAGACGGCCCAATAGGGCCCCAAGACGGGCCCAAGAAACGGCCAAGAGGGGGACGAGGAACCGAGAATTCGAGACTTCCGCCCTAAGAGGCCCCCGGGAAGCCCCAAGAGGCCCCCAAAAGGCCCCAAGAGGCCCCCGAGCGGCGCCAAGACGCCCCCAAGATGCGCCGAAGACGGCCTCCGGAAGCCCCAAGAGGCCCAAAAGAGGCCCCAAGAGGCCCCACAACGGCCCCCAAGAGGCTTCAAGTTGCCTTCCAGACGCCCCCGAGAGGTCAACCACGAGATCCCAACCAACATCCATAAGGCCTCCTCCTCCTCCCCCTTCACCCTTCCTCCTCCTACTCCCTTCCGCCTCCTCCTCCTCCTCCTCCTCCTCCTGCCCCCCCCTCGTGTTGTCTTTCGTCATCTTCAGGGTCGGCGGCAACGGCCGTAAGGCCTTCGCAATATGACATGCTCGCAATGTACAACGACTTGAGCCGACTTGTGTAACTCTTGAACTGCGCGCCCTCACTCAACCCCGATCACGTGCACCTCAAAGAAACTTGAAGTACCTAAGGTGACCTCATTCTGGCCGTCGTGTGGCATCATGGGGTCGGTGCTGGCACCGTTGCTCAGCTGGAGGAGACTCGGTATGTTCCTGTCGCATACCTGGCCGGCCAACTGCCACCATTGGTCGACCTTGTGCGGGCTCCGCAAGGGCTTCACGCCGCTGAACAACAAAAACGAACATATCATGACCGTTCGGATGTCTCTGGAAAACGAGCCTTGTGCAGGTCGATCCGCGCCTCTGGCATGCGCCCTTGCACCACTCGGCAGCTTTTCCAATCCGTTCGGACTCCCATAGATGGAATTGCAATCGCAGCAAGGTGGACGCCCATCATCATCGTGGACTCGGTCGGGGTACACGCATGGTTGAAAGCCTTCTACTTGACGCGCCGGAACGCAGGCGACGCTTTCACGACTCTTATGACACCGAGGCCCAATGGATTTCCTTCCGCATCTGGCCGTGCTACTCTGGAGACCGGCTTATCGTGGACCCCGTGGTAAGCGGCAGGCTGTTCGAGAACGCCCTAGTTCTGCAAGCTCAGGCTCTCGTCATCCCCGAGGCGGCATCTGGTGCCGCGGCCCTTCGCACTGTGGCGACTGACAAGTGGCTCGGTTAGACAGCAAGGGACACACATGCTTCGGCGTGGCCCAAGGACCCTTTTGGAGGAAATGGCCATGCGCAGACGGTTAGATCCGGCTGCCAAGACCAAGCTCTGGAGGGAGTTCTGGAGCTCGGCTCTTTCTGGCTCTGGGAGGGTGGCGCACAAGCTGATCGAGCCTAAGATTGTCGTGCCCCTCCCTGTGGTGATGCCTGGTGTCGTGGAGTCTCTGACTCAAGTGAGATCCTCGGCGGCTGAAGGTGCGTTGCAGGAGTTGCTTCCTTTGGGGATCAAGGACTCCATGGCAGATGAGGCTACTCTGAAGCCCATCAGCTTGGAGCAAGTCCGCTCGGCTCTCTTTTTCAGCAGGTGGAAGGACCCAGGCTGGGGGAACTTGCACCTTCGGCTACTCGGCGAGCTCCCCGACGCCCTGGATCCTGGCTCCGCTGCCATCTTGACAAAGTTTGAGCGCGCGGCCGTTCACACCATGATGCAGCAAGACCACTCACACTCACAACCACACTCAGACCTACACTCTAACATTAAGACCACTCATGCTCTGATACACATTCCCTAAGCTTCGCCATGCTTATCAATACACGTACAATCACTCACACCCAGACTCGTTCACGCACACAGACTCACCCATACTCAGACTCACTCGTTCTCAGTCCCTCTTACTCACACCCACTCATACCCAAACTCTCTCGTACCCAGACGCTCGCAACGGAAAAGGTCTAGGCACATCGATACACATATGGGAGAGAGCGTGATCCACCGCCGCTTTACTATGGAAAATCCCCCCCCTCTTCTTCCAGAACCCGGGGTTCCCCCCCTCTCCCCTTCGAAAATCCCCCCCTCTTTCCCCCCGGACCCTCCGCCCCCTAACCCCTTTCCCCCCCCCTCCTGAAAACCCGGGGCGGGTCACTACCAATTCGATCCCCCATCCCCCCCCTCGGGAAAACCAGGGGGGATCACTACCGGTTCGAACACCCCCTCCTCCGGAAAACCGGGGGGGGTCACTACCGCTTCGAACCCCCTCCCCCCCCTCCAAAAAAACCAGGGGGGGTCACTACCAGCTCGAACCCCCCCTCCAGAAAACCGGGGGTCACGGTCCCCACAATTGTCCCACTGTCCCCACTGTTTCCACCACCGTCCAATTGTCCCCACTGTCACCGCCGCTGTACCACTGTGCTGTCCCACTGTCCCCACTGTCCCCACCACTGGCCCACTGTCCTCACTGTCCCCACCCCGCTGTACTACTGTCCCACCACCGTCCTCACCACCGCCTTCACCACTGTCCCCACCACTACCGTCCCCACCACTGTCCCCACCACTGTCCCGCTGTCCCCTCACCACTGTCCGCATCACCGTCTCATTGTCCCCACACTACTGTCCCCGAAAATTGAATCTAACCGTGAAGAAAAAAAACAACACGTAAAAACAATACGTAAAAACAATACGTACACGCGAACAAAAAACAACACGTAAAAACAATACGTAAACCAACACGTAAAAACAATACGTAAAAACAACACGTAAAAACAACACTTCCACACAATACATAAAACAATACGTGGAAACACTACGAACCAACAACACATAAAAACAAAACGTAACAACAACAATACGTTCAAGCAACACGTGATTACAACGCGTAAACATTAGGTAAGCACAACGAATAATACACATGAAAATTTGTTCAACCCACATAAAAACAACACGTAAAATCAACGCGTAAAAACAACACGTACAACAATACGTAAAACAACACGTAACAACACGTACAAACAACACGCACATCAATACATAAATGCAACGAACATTTAAATTAACAATGAAAAAACAATACGTGAAACAAAACGCAAAACAACGAATAAACAATACAACTCACGTCAAAACAACACATCAACACAACACGTAAGAACAATACGTAAACATTAATACGTAAGCCGTAAACGTGAGAAAAAAAACAACACGTAAAAACAATCCGTAAAAACAATACGTAAAACCAATACGTAAAATCAACACGTAAAACCAACACGTAAAACAAATACGTCAAATCACTACGTAAAACAAAATGACAAAAACACGTCAAAACAATACGTAATAACAATACGTTTAAACAACACGTGATCACAACGCGTAAACATTTCGTAAACACAACGCGTAATACACGTGAAAATTCGTTCAACCCGCGTAAGAAAAACAACACGTAAAAACAACTCGTAAAACAACACGTAAACTAATACGTAAAACAAGACATAACAACACGTACGAACAACACGTACATCAATACGTACATGCAACGAACATTCAAATTACCGTGAAGAAAACAATACGTGGAACAATCCGCAAAACAACATATAAAGCATGACAACACGTTAAAACAACACATCAAAACAACACGTAAGAACACTACGTAAACAATATGTAGACCACATAACACGTAGCATCACGTAATCACACCACCAAGAACACATAACCTGCGTTTAACACACGTAAAAATAACACGTAAACACAACACATCAAAACAACACGTAACACCAACACGTCAACACACTACGTAACCAAAACGGGGAAGGAGGATGAGGAGGAGGAGGAGGAGGAGGGTGGGAGGAGGGGGGGGGAGGAGGAGCAGGAGGAGGGAGGAGGAGGCGGGAGGAAGGAGGGAAGAGGAGGAGGTGTTGTTTGTACGTGGTTTTGTTTGTACGTGGTTTTGTTTGTACGTGTTGTATCTACGTGTGGCACTCACGTGTTTGTTTGTACGTGTTGATGTTACGTGTTTTGTTGTTGCGTACGTTTTTTTTTCGTATTGGTTGTGCGTTCTGCTTTTGCGAATTGTTTTTACGCACTGTTTTTAGTACTGCTTTTACGTATTGGTTCACGTAATGTTTTTTTACGTGGTTTTGTTTGTACGTGGTTTTGGTTGTACGTGTTGTATCTACGTGTGGCGATCACGTGTTTGTCTTTACGTATTGTCTTTACGTATTGTTTCTACGTGTTGCTTTTACTCATTGTTTTTACGTGTTTTTTCTTGTACGTGTTGTATCTACGTATGGCGCTCACGTGTTTGGTTGTACGTGTTGCTGTTACGCGTTGTTGTTGCGTACTGTTTTGTTGCGCATTGTTTTTGTTTGCGTATTGTTTTTGCGTATTGTTTTTTGTGTGTTGTTTTTGCGTACTGCTTTTACGTGTTGTTTTTAAGTATTGGTTCACGTATTGTTTGTTTACGTGGTTTTGTTTGTACGTGGCGTTGTTTGCACGTGTTGTTTCTACATGTGGCGCTCACGTGTTTGTCTTTACGTATTGTTTTTACGTATTGCTTTTACTTATTGATTTTACGTATTGTTTGTACGTGGTTTTGTTTGTACGTGTTGCATCTACGTATGGCGTTCACGTGTTTGTTTGTACGTGTTGTTGTCACGTGCTGTGTTTGCGTACTGATGTTTTGCGTATTGTTGTTTTGCATATTGTTTTTGCGTATTGTTTTTACGTATTGTTTTTGAGTATTGTTTTGGAGTTTTGTTGTTTACGTATTGTTTTTTTACGTATTGTTTTTACGGATTGTTTTTACTTATTGCTTCACGTATTGTTTTTTTACGTGGTTTTGATTGTACGTGGTTTTGTTTGTACGTGGTTGTGATTGTACACGGTTTTGCTTGCACGTGGTGTTGTTTGTACGTGGTTTTGTTTGTACGTGGTTTTGTTTTAACGTGGGTTTGTTTGTACGTGGTTTTGTTTGTACGTGGTTTTGCTTGTACGTGGTTTTGTTTGTACGTGGTTTTGTTTGTACGTGGTTTTGTTTGTACGTGGTTTTGTTTTAACGTGGGTTTGTTTTTACGTGGTTTTGTTTGTACGTGGTTTTGTTTGTACGTGGTTTTGTTTGTACGTGGTTTTGTTTGTACGTGGTTTTGTTTGTACGTGGTTTTGTTTGTACGTGGTTTTGTTTGTACGTGGTTTTGTTTGTACGTGTTGTATCTACGTGTGGCGCTCACGTGTTTGTCGCTACGTATTGTTTTTACGTATTGTTTTGTACATGTTGTCATTTTTTGTATCACGTTCACGTATTGTTTTTACGTCTTGTGTTTACGTATTGTTTTGTCCCCACGGTTAACATTTATTCTCTCACGGTTAAGAATTACCATTCTGTCCCCCCCACCACCGTCCCCATCACTGTCCCACAATCCCCACCATGTCCATCTGTCCCGAGGTGCGGGAATCGTTTGCCGGCGGCGGGGGGGCTGGAACGAAAAATGACCCCGCCCGGTTTTCGAGGGGGGGGGGTCGAACCGGTAAAGACCCCCCCCACTTTCATGATGGACTCGGGGGGGGGTTCGAACCGGTAATGACCCCCCCCCCGGTTTTCGAGGGGGGGGGACGGGTTGACCCCCCCCGGTTTTCCGCCAGCAGCGGTAGAACACGCTCTTTCACAAATAGAGATCTCCGCGTCGAGTAATTCCCTTTGGTTTTTCAAGGTTGTTGGTTTCTCGGAGGTGTCGTGGAGAGCCTCCTTGGGCACTCTGGGGCTGTCTTGAACGTCTCTGAAGCATTGGGCAGACTGTCTGGTGCCGTCGGAGTCTCCTAGAGACTGTCGTGTAAGTGACTGGGGGCGCTCTTGGGGTCTCCAAGGGGCTTTTCCGGGACTTGGTTGGGGGCCTCTGGGGGGCCTCTTGAAGCCCCTGGCTTTCTTGGCAGCTTCTTGGAGGCATTTGGGGGCGTCGAGGGGTCGTTCAGTGGAGCCTCGGGGCCGTCTTGAGGCGATCTGGAGGCCTTGGCAGCCCATCATAAGGGAGAACGCGAGAAGGCAAATTCACGGACGTCCAGTGGGTTTTTGAAGTTTTTTTGGCTTCTCGGAGGTGTCGTGCAGGGTCGCCTGGGGCCTTTCGGGAGTCTCTTTTGGGCCTCTCGTGGGCCTCTCGGGGCCTTTCGGGGGTCTCCCTGGAGCGTGATGGCGGTCTGAGGGGTCCACTGGGGGCAGAGAGCAGGACGTGTAAGTGGGAATCCTCCCCCTTGACTCCGAACCCTCGGGCGGCCCGTTTGGGCGGCTATTTCTTGATTGGACGAAGGGGGAGAGGTCCGACCACGGATATCGACGAAAGTGGGCATTGACCGCAATGCGAACCCAAGAGTCGCCAGACAGGCCAGGACACCACGCAAACCGTGCTGCATTTAGCACACTCATCTTGCGAATTGCATTTCCGAGAAAACCACATTGCGAATAGAAGGGTCGCCAGGCAGGCGAGGAAACCACGCAAGCCGAACTACAATGAGCCAACTCATGCTCCGAAATGTTAGACATTATTGCCTGAGACTGAATGCTACCGTGCTGCACCCCAATATCACCCTGAGGCCCAGACGGCAAAACATCTTGAACACTGAACGAAGTAAGGAGACGAAAAGGCGAATGGATGGAGGGAGGGAGGAAGAGAGATGGGTGAGACACTAAACCGCGTGTGCATACGCCTACATAATCTTGTCAACGGCACTCGCACACTTGTACATAAGTGTATGTCCTGGATAAGAGCGTAACAGAAAAAATGCAGGAGGCGAAAGGAGACATAGAGAGAGAGATAGAGAGAGTGAGAGAGATAAAAACGAACGACAGAGACAGAGAGACAGAGCGAGAGAGAAGTGGCGTGGGAGAGGCTCGCTTGCTCGTGGGCCATTCAGCAGGGGAGCCCCGATTCCAACGAAGATCATGACTCAAACTGTACCATCCAGTAGGACGGCAACACGACAATCCACACATAGAAAACAACGATTCCCGCCTGGCGGGTGCCGGTACGTGGCAGTCAGGCCTGCACGACCGATGCTGTTTTGATCAGTGCACGGCGCCCGCTCTGAAATGCCAGCGGCGAACGCGGAGGAGGGAGGAAAAGGGAGGTGAGTCCTCATGGTAGATGAGGCCGTGGACCAAAAGGAAGGGCATACCTTACGGCCTCCTCTACATTCGAAGGGCCTAGGCTTGTCCACTCATTGGTGCTTTTAGTGGAAACCAGCAGTATGTGCATGCCGCCCATCGTCTAAATCGCTTGAGCTGTCATCAGAGACCTCGTGGACATTGGATCTCAGAAGACACGCTTTGCTGTGACCTGAGAAAATCACACCGGCATCAAGCAAGGGCAATGTCTCTCCACGAACTGTTTTTATTGTGAGCTCTGACAGCGCGACATCCGTCCTAAGGTCGGGAGCTTTCTCATTTGTTTGATGTAGAAGCAGTAGCAGCCGCTTGTTACAGTAGTCCTGATATCCCTGCATGTCCAGGTCATTAGCATCAGAGCCAAATGGATTCTCAAGCTCAACGGATACTTCATGCAAGGACCAGAACACGAACGTTAGCAGGAAACATATGCAGAATGCCTGCGTGCTCCCGATACAAACGATTGCTGCCATGAACGGTGTCGCCATCATGTGGATAAACATCATCCACACAGTGACCTGCGCGTACGGGAATGGGAATAACAAAAACCGAAGATTGTGGGCATCCTCATACTTGAGACAACCACAATGCATTTCGTTTAAAGCTCGCGCGAAGACTGGCGGTGCAAATCTCATGAGACCGGCCTGATCCGCCTCCGCAAGCAATGCCATGAGCATATTGTACACTGCCTCGACTTTCAGCTCCGTGTCGTTCACAGTACGGATCACTGACGGCTCCAGCGACCCAGGATCGATTACCTGCAAATTCAGAAAAAAGGCCATCCCATCATCGCCGTCGGTGTCCGATAACTTCGCCAAAGCAAGGGCGTTCATGAGACTGAACAGTCGCACCACCAACTCTCGAAATCTGCCGACCTCATAGCTATCATTCTTGGATGTACGTGTGAAGGTGACGAAGCTGCCAGCAGCGTCGCACCACAAGCAAGTCATCGATCGCACAAGTGCCCCCCCTGTGCAGAATCGCGAATATGCCTGTTGGGTGCGAAAGATGATCAAGAATGCAAGCATGGCAGTGAAGCTGGTGTACGGCGTGGCAGATAAACCAAAACTTTTCGTGGTGTCCGAGTCCGTAGACTCGATCCACGTTTTCAACACCACCGCGAAGATGGCCGAGGGCAGCGCGAACAGACATGCGAAAGGTCCGACGCTGCCCCTCATGCCCAGCAGAAGGCTGCGCGATAGCGTGGGCTCGTACTGAATCATGGCGGGGAACGGCTCGAGAATACGCAAAAGACGCCTGGGGGTCAACCACAACGCAATGCTGATCGACCAAATGAGCCGATCGGTCCTCGAGCCAACAACACGGCTACAGAGGCCCGCTTGGGCCGTCTTGGGCGTCTCTTGGCACACTTCTGTTCTCACTGCCGCAGCGCCTGACCTATCCATGAACCCTCTCTGTGTGCACGACTCGCAGGAAGGAACGGGATGATATGACATGCTCGCAATGTACAACGACTTGAGCCGACTCGCTGTCACTCTTGCACTGCGGCCCTCACTCAGCACCGATCGCGTGCAACTCAGTGAGGCTTAGTTTCCTGGGGTGGTTTCACTCCGGCCGCCATTCGGCATCAGGGGGTCTGTGCCGACATCTGGTTTGTTGGGGCCTTTCAGGGAGCAGATGGGAACGAACACCGAACAATCTGCTGCCCCTCACGGGGGCTATCTTCTATCTCCGAGCCGTTGCAAGTCCCACGCAACGCAACGGCAATGATCAATATTGGCCGGCCAGGATAACGTCACCACCTACGGAAGGGGGAGGGGCAGGAGGAAAATCAAATCACCAGGAGCAACGCTCAGGCCGACCTGCGATAGGCGAGCCGTTGCGCGCAACTGGGGAACCTGGACCCTGCAACACTGCAGAACTAATACAACTATCTGAGTCCGAGAGCTGTAAAAGACCACGTAGTTTAAATCCAGGGGGAGGAGGAAGAAGGAGAACGACCAGGAAGAGGAGGGAAACGAAGAGTAGCGAGCTACACCGTGGTCTCAAATCAAAAGTACGCCGGTACATTCCAAACTGACATACTGCTTGCTGCTGGCGCCGGCTGGGGAGGACAAATCCTGGCCCCCCGCGGACACATAGGCGCTACCAACCGGCAAGGGGAGAAGAGGAATAGGAGGAGGAAGCCTGAGAATGCCACCAATCAGGAATAACTAAGTCAATATCTCCCACCCTTTACCCACCGCAGGGGGGCCCACTGGTATTGAAAGGGGAGCCATAACGGCCGCGCCCCCATGCCAAGTGAGCATAGCAACGACGCGAGACCACAAAGTAACGATAGAAATGACACCAACCAAACAACGAACAACAAGAAAAGGGGAGAAGTGGAAAACTGGAGAGGCACGATACGCCTAGGCGCCTGGCCGCCTGCGCCGAGGCTGGCGAACAGCCCGTGCAGAGGCTCCCGGGGGCAAGCCTCGCGCACGGCGGTCTTGAAACGATGCCCCGCGTCGAGTTGAGATACGGCAGGTTCGTGCCGTGTCGACCTGGGCGTTGGTCCCTGACGCCGCGAGGATCGTTCAACCTTGAACGATCGGCCATTTCCGCAACGTCCGATCGTTCAACATCGACCGATTCTGGGCCTCCGCCGGCGTTCAACGTTGAACGCCGGCGTCGGGGTCGCCGCCGGTCGACACGACGCGAACCTACCGTACGGCTTTGTGCCGCACGGCGAGGCGTGCCTGGTAGAGGGCATATATACAAACAACTCTCAACAGGCGCATGTCGTTGATTCTCGGCACGCGCAAGCCGATACAGTTTGCCGGGCGCGCTTGCTCAGGCGGTGGTGCGCGGGCACGCGCCTCCTGGCACCAGCGATGATGCAGACCACAATGTGCGTATTGCTGAACGCAATCGAAACCTCCACCGCAGCCACACGCACAACGATACCGTTGTTGAAAGCGCGCCGTGGTGAGCCAACTATTGCAAACTGTGCGCAATGGTGCTGTCATGGCGCATGGCGGGCAACTCTGACAGACAAGGGCCAAATAAACGTCAAAGCGCGGCACCCGTGGGCCTGGCGTCAGGCCAACAATCCAATGGTCAAGCCGCCTCCGAAGGAATGCGTCCACTTTGGTTGGCGGGCGCTCTGCCCGCGAAAATCGGCACCAGCTGGCTTGCCAGCCCGCCTTGCGGGAGAGCCAGCCCTCATGCGGGACCTCTTGTGTTAGACGCAGGCCGCGTTGCAGCTCCTCCCCGGCAGAGCGGTCTACCAAAGCCTCCAAGACAAACAGCGCGTTGCTCGCCAGCCGCGCCTCGACTGCCTCAGAATAGAACTGGCGCCCATCGCTCTGGGGCAGCAGGCGGAGTCTGCGTGCTCCCGCACTCGCCTGCAGCCCGCCCTGCTTCAACGCCTGGAGGTGGCAGGCGCGAGCCTGGGCCGCAATCGCCGCGCGGCGCATGTCCACCAACCCGTGCCGAAACCCAATGAGGCGCAGCTTCGCCATGAGGTCTGCGGTCGCCCGCGCACGGGGGCCTGGAAAGAGCTCGGCGCAGGCCCGCCGCCCCGCCGCGTCGAAACGGGCGGGCCATGGCCGAAGTTGCGCTGCGAGCGCGACCGCCGAGGCCGCGAACGGGCGGCGGGCCGCGCTGGCGCGATGCCGGCCTGGGCCGATCTTGCCCGAGGTTGCCGCGCGAACCAGCATCTTTTCCGGGGGGTCTTCGGCGCGCGCTCCCCGGCACTGGGGCCCAAGACCAAGCCTAGGTTTTCAGCCTTATCCCGGATGGTCATTGCCCCCCCATGCCGGCGCTCGCCTGCGAGGGGGTGCGATCGCCGTCTGCATCTTCGGGCTCCAGAAGTGCGCGCGTGCTCCGCGAGGGTGCCGCGAAGAATCGACAACTGCCCGAACGCGCGCGCAGGCGACGATGATGGCCAGGTCGCCCACGCGCGCCCTCTCCGGCGCCCCCGGGGCGAGCTGGCGGATGCGTCGCGGCGAAGAAGGAGCGAAGATCACAGACGCCCCTGGCGGACACCTCGCGCAATCCCGAAGACCAGGCCCGGCACCTCGCGCCCCGCAGCGCGACGTCGCAGCAAGTGCCCTGGAAAAGGGCCAGGGCGAAACCGAGAAACCACTCGGGCCGACCATATGGGCGAAGAAGCCGTGGAGAGAAGCCGTGCTCGATAGATGGGAATGCGGCCTCAAAAACGAAGAATACAGCCATCGATCCGCGGTCGCCCACGCAATGCTCCGCCGTGCGCTCGTCCGCGCTGGAGAGGGGGGGAGATCCTCGCGGCCGCCGCGTCCTCCGCTGCCATCCGCGCTGCGTCGGCCAAGAATCAGTCGTTTGCGTTGATCGCGCTCAAGGGCCCGACCTCGTCCACCGCGTGGCCTATTTCGGCCAGTCCCGATCTCTCGGGCGGGCGTTGCTGGATGGAGATTAACGGGCTGCGATTTAAATCCCTAGCGAGCTCGCGGGGCCGCCGCAAACCATCGCCCCCGCAGATGCCGCCGAAGACCGCGTGCAGGACCTCCACTGCCGAGGGCCCGATGCGCCGCTGGGCCATGGCCGCCAGCCCGCCCGGCCCTGGAGAGAAGCAGGGCGATGCGCGGATGGCCGCTCGGACGCGATTTTAGGAAGGCACCAACTATACACCAACACCGATCCTGGCCAGGATCACCCTGGGCCCAGGATCGGTGCATACGCCCTCCTGCCTTGCGCAAGAAGGCGTATACACCGATCCTGGGCCCAGGGTGATCCTGGGCCAGGATCGGTGTTGGTGTATAGTTGGTGCCCTCCGAGATTTTCCCAGAGGCGGGGAACTGCTGGGCGGAAGCGGCGCGAGCTGGTCCGCGGGGCGGTGGTCGGGATCCCGGCCGAGCCACTCTGCCGGCGCGTCGCCGTCGGCCCCGCGCCGCTGACGCGCGCCCTCCCCTTGTGCCCCCGCGGGGCCGGGCCGGTCGTCGCGGCAGGCTGCGCGCCCGAAGAGGACGCAGCCACTGACGCGTCTTTAGAGGCCTCCTAGATGGGGTCCGAGCAGATGGGGTCGAAGGATCGCGCCGCATCGCCAATGCATCGCCGATGCATCGCCGATGCATCGGCGATGCACCGGCGATGCATCGGCGACGTCGGCGACGCATCGGCGACGTCATCGGGCTCCGCATCGAGCCGCATCGGCGATGCATCGGCGATGCGGCGCGATCCTCCGATCCCATCAACTCCGACCCCATCTAGGAGGCCTAGAGTCTTCGTTAGCCTGAACGCGTGGGCCCACGAAGCCCTCGAGGAGGTCAATCATGGCAGGCGGCCGCAGCGTCGCCTTTTCAGGCGGCGGCAGCGCGGCAGCGTGATTCAAATTATGGCTCCTCCCCGAAAAGTCGCCGACGCTGCCGAGTTCTCTCGGGCGCGTGGTAGCGCGCCTTCGGGGATCCTCCTCAGGCGTTGCGCCGCCGGCGAGCTTCTGTTGCTGGCGTGCTTTGCCGGGGAGCGGACGTCTGCGCGAGGCGTATGAAACGCGCCGCGCAGAAAAACAATGATCTTCCATCCGAGCCCTGGCTCGCGGTGCTGTGGGCCAAGGGGTGGCCGAGGGGCAGATCGAGCGTTTCTCTCAAAAAACCTCACTTGTACGTCTACATCCGAGCATCGGCCGAGAGTGACACTCGCTCGACAGGGCGAATCGCCGTTGGCACCCCGCACGACCGTGCCGCGCTCGCCGAGAACGCATCCCACCGCCGACGTGCGTACTGGCCAGAGTCCGAGGACGAGCCAGTTGTTCATGGCGCGTGCTTTGGCTGCTTGAGAAGCGTCGGTTGCAATGAGATCGGCATGGGCCTTGCCCATCCAGGGCGTGGCCGCGCGCCAACTTCATGGCGTGATCCCCCGCCGCTGGAGCTCGACCGAGACGTTGCCATCGAACGCGCAAGGGCTGTCAGCGAGGCCCTGGAGCTCGGGGCGGCGGAAGAGGCGCGAGGAAACGCCGGCCGCGAGGCCGCGCTCAAAGGCCCAGTTGAAGTGGTGGGCGACGCTGGGGCGCCCCTCGAATGCCGTCGCCTCTGTGGCGCCCGCCCACTCTTCTTCCGACTTGAGCCTCGCCTGCCGCGCGGGCGCCCTCAGGTGGCCGAGCTTCTGCGCGCCCCAACCCTGAGGCCGGTCGCGAAGGCGTCGGCCGAACTCCAGGCGCACCGGCCGCTCCAAGTCCTCGCGGCGGATCGCGCGGACGGGAACGGAACGCAGATGAACGGGGGGCCGATGCGGGCGCCGCCTGTGCACCGCCAGGTGCGCCGAGAGGTCTGCCTCCAGGGGGTCGCGCGGCGCGTCGCGCGCCGGTCGAGCTGCTCCGCCGCGCGCCGTTTCAGGTAGATCCCGTCGGTGCATGACCTGGCGCAGGCAGAGGCGCGAGCAACATCATCTCGGGGCATCTCCGTCGACATGGCTCGGGGGCCCGAGGGTCGATCGGAAGCGCCGCCCTCGTCCTGCTCGCGCCCGCCAGTCTCTCGCAGCGAGGTCAATGCCTGGCGGCTGCCATGCCTTGCGGCGCAGTGAAAGTCCCC